TCCCTCAGCGCCCCTTGACACGGAAACGCATCTTTGCGTTTAAATAGCGTTAGTCCCATTGTTAAGACGAGGGGGATGGAGGTCGTGCCTTAGGAAAGTAAAATAACTTGTCTCACAGCTTTCTGTTTCCCGCACGTGGCGCATGTTGCCCGCCAGGTTTTAGGGGCGTAAAGCTGGTATTTCCACGCTTTTTGTTTCTTTTCCTGTCTATTTTTTTTTGTTTGAAGCTTTTTTTTCCTGCGGCTCAGAACTAAAGTAACCCGGCGGTGTGTTTTTCAAAGACTGCAGCTGTGCTCTCTTTCACCAGATTGCAGTTACAGGAGATAGACCCCGGGAGATCCTGCCTTCCACCATGGCTCAGTTTGGAGGACAGAAGAATCCCCCCTGGGCTACTCAGTTTACTGCCACGGCGGTGTCTCAGCCAGGTCAGTTTACATCTCTCACTGTTTGAACCCTGACATCCAGGAGATTTGGAAATTCCAGGGTTGACTGTGCACTTACCAGCGGCACCATGCTAACTAACGTATTTAAAGCCTGCTTAAATGGGTAAAGTTGGGGGTTTTTCCCCACCACAGAGGCTTTAAAGATCATTACTTAATACTGGCTGTTGGTTTTGTTTGTTGTTAGGTTTTTTTAAGGGGTGATAAGTGAAATCTCGGGTGAATTTGTATGGATTTGGACAGTAAACAACATATCAAATTACTCATATCCCAAGATGTGTAAATTAAATTACCTTTTATCAAATTACATCTCTGTAGGTTAAATAATAACAGCACTAATAAGGCACTACAGATTTTTTAAGTGCTGTCTCACTTTCATTTCCAGGGCAGCCTAAATCAACGTTTACAAATTATTTTGCATTTGTTAATATTTTGGACCTACTTCACATAGTGGAAAGTTCTCTGAAACTTGTTACTTGGGTGAGGAGGTTGAAGGTTTTTTAACACTAAATCAGAACTTAAGGATCCCTGTAACCAAATGCATTGCCCTAACAATGGGAGAGAGTTTCCTTGGATTTAGCTAAAAGCCTGTATTTAAGAACTCAACTGGCTTCATTTTCATTTTCCATGTTGCCTTGTGGCACAAAAGGTTTTGAGGCAAGAATGTGAAGCTTGCTGCATGATGAATTTTGGTGCTTCCATTTCCAGTTCTGGAGTGCCTTTTGCTCTTCTTGAGTGCAAATTGTTTCTTAATGAAGTATCGTAGTTACGTTGTGTGATGTGCAAAGGCTTCAGTGACTCTGGGGTGGGAGGCAGTGCCTCGTTGAGGAGCAGCCTTGCTAAAGGGTTGTACGGTTTGTGCAGTTGCTCTGATTTGATATGAAGTTCAGTGTCACACCTCCTTTGTCCCTGGGTTTCTGTCTGGGAGCCTGGCAAAGGTTGGGAATGCTCAGCATTCCTTGGAGGTACATGTTTGGGCTAGGAAGAATACATCTTTCTCCTGGCTCTGTTTTCTTTGCCAAAGTGAATCCTCTCTCTCTAGTTTTTCCATTGGTCACTGATCCAATGACACTGTATCCTCAGGGAATGACCACCCCCATGTGTTTCACCCTGCTCTGTCCCAGTGTGCCTCTTGCTGTTCCTCCAGGGCCCTTCTGCCCTGTTCCCTACCTAAACTGTTGCTGTACCTAACCAGCTGCCCACAGGCAGTTTTTCACTGTTTCTCTGAATAGCTCACACTTTACTTATCCAAATGGCACCATCTCCTGTAAGAAATTCCTTAGCAGCTGGAAAGGGTTGGCATTGGGAACATGGGAGAGACAGACTTTGCTTTTGGTTCTCCTGTGTGGCTGTGTGAGACACTGGAGCAATCAGAGCTGGGCTGTTCTCGATGTGCTGGCTGGTGTGACAGCTGATGTATCCAAAACAGGGGTGGGAGATGGAGGGCCAGCTCCAGGTCCTGTCTCAGAGGGAAAGCTGCACAAAGCCTGCCAAGGAGAGCAGCTGGCAGTCATCCTACAGCTCGCTGAGGGAGGACCAGGAGAGGGCCCTGGAGGAGAGGGGGATGGAGTGTACATTAACTTCTTATCCATTGTCTTGTGCCTGTGGCTCTGCCCTTGGCCAGCCTACTCCAGAACCTCCTTAGATTAAATGAAGTGCAAAATGTGACTGGGGTAGAACTGGTCAACCTTGGTTGCTGTGAGATTTTTCACCTGCTCAGTGAGGACTTATCTCCAGGGATTTTTAGCTGTTCATCTGATCCTGCAGCACCTGACTCAAACATGAGAGCCAATAAAGACCTAACATTTGGTTGCACTTTTGGCTTCTTCCTGTGCTAGTCCCACATTCCTTCACGTTCCCAGTGTCCTCTTCAGGCTGTAGTGTCTTATCTCCACTATCCCTTGAAGGCCTTTAGCTCCCCACGTCCTTTGCTGCAAGTCCTTTCCTGTACCTGTGTCTGCATCCTTTCTTCCCTGTCTGCACTGCTGAATCCAGTCCCTGGGATTCTACAGCCCAGCTCCTGTTTTAGTACATACTTGTTCCCCTGCCTTTTTTATTGCTAGTTGTGATTGTGATTTATAATCCAGAGTACTGCTGCTCACTCGTGTCTGCACCCAAGAAATTGTGCATATTGGCTTACCCTTGTCAATCCCAGTGTTCGTAAACTCATTTAAAAAACCATAGTTACCAAATGTTTATATATTTTCAGAGGTTTGGCCAGAGGTGTTACTTGTATTTATACATGCCAGCTGTTTTTATCCAAGTGTCAGGTTCCTTCTCCAAAGCATCGAGGTGCTTGGGTATGAGGGAAAGAGAGCTTTATTTTTATAATGCAAGCAACGTGATGCAGAGCCTCTTCCTAAGCTGGCAAATGTGGTGAGTGATGGTGTTATAAACCCAGTTTGATCATTGCAAACAGGTAATTTAAGGGTTGGGGGGTTGTGTTTTTTTAGTTTGGGGGGTTTTGGGGGCATTTTTTTGTATTGCTGATGCAGATGCTGTCTTGGCCATCCCTAGTGAAGAAGTAACTAAATGAGTTAAAGCTCTTAATTATTAAGGTGTGACACTCTGAGGTAGCTGTAGGGTGACATGCTGTGTAATGAAGGGTTCTGAGATCCACTTAGGAGAGCTCACTCATTACTGTCTGTGCCCGTGGTATTAGAAGGGAGATGGGCAATTCCAGGAGCCAGCAGAGAGCGATGTGCAAAGAGAAACTCCTGCATGGAACACAGCCAGTTTCTCTACTCCTCCTCTCATGGGTTGGTGCATCACATGGCTAAAACCAGAATAAAGCCCCCGCCAGGCTGGTTAAGCATTGTTAAAGCATAAATTAAATCATAGCTTAAGTCGTGCCTACTACAGAAAATTACTTTAACTTGCATAATGCTGTGCAAACTCCTGAAACACCTGCAAAGGAGAACCCCCTCCTCTTCTCTCAGGCATTTGTTTTTGGCACGTCTTTGGTTTGTGTGGCAGTGCTTGCCATGTGCTGTTCTCAGGGTTGTGATGAAGAGCTTGTTTTTACAGACCTGCAGAGCAGGGGAGCCCCAGCTGTGCTGTGTTGTGGCTGATCAGGGGTGTTGCCTTTGCTGTATCACAACTTTATTGTGCTGGGGTGAAGAAGGGTGCAGCTGGTGGAAGCTGAAGCGCCTGTTGCTCAGTATCCTGTTACTGCTGGTGGCAAAGTGTGAGAACAGGACAAGCCTGTGGTGGATCTCAAGCCCCTAAGGAAGAGTGGCTGATACACAGTTTACTGACTTGCTGTAAACACATGTCCCATGACAAATACTCTGAGCCCAGTTTCTAGTGTGTGCCTGATGAAAAGAGTATTTTGGGAGTAGGTTGTGTGGTGTTTGTACTGTGAGTGTGTTAAGCTGGAAGAAACTTGAACAGTCAAGGACCCACTCTCACGATTTCTGACAACTGCGAGAAGTGTGCAGAGCCCTGCAGCTCTAGTAAATCTATGTCACTTACCGAGGAGACAGATGTAGCTACATACTTCGAAGATGTTTCCCTAATTTTAAAAGATCTCTGGATTTTAGAAGGAGAAAGAGGGACTACTAAATACTATCTTTGTGCTTGTTACAACAGAAATGTCTTACCTAAAAAGATGCTTGAGCTGCAGCCTGGGATTCCTGTTCCTGTCCAAGCCCTTTCTCTGGCTGTGCCATGCAGCATTGAGAAGTTGTTTGGACTGTGTTTGAAG